GTGTATGTGTGTGTGTTTGTGTGTGTGTGTGTGTGTGTGTGTGTGTGTGTGTGTGTGTGTGTGTGTGTGTGTGTGTGTGTGTACCAGCCCAAGGTTTATGAGTTAACTTCATTACAGTGTTTCAATCCGCCTAATAAACCAGAATTTTAAGGATCCCAAGTTGGACATTTGTAGCTAACATTATAACAAATTTTGGGGTGGTTATAACTCACCCCATAGCCCCCACTCCCAGCGCTGCTGCCACCCGTCACATCCCCATGCCGGAAAGAGGCTGGTGTAGCCCCTGGCCCCAGGCCCACAGTAAGCAGTCCGTCCTCGCCCCGCGCACAAATCCAAGGGGCACATGCTCCCCATGCCTCCACCACGCCCCCAGATGAGCCTTCCGCAGCTCCATCCCACGCCCCACCCTGCTCTGGCTGGGTAGCACCTGCCCCTGTCCCAATCCCTCCCTCACTATGTGGGCCTTGATCTGCATCCCTCATGCCCCTTCCCTTCCTCACACCCCTTCCCCACCGACTTACCATCTGGACGCTGCTTTCCACACTATCAGGCTGCATTCCTGGTCGCATGCATGTGACATTTATTGGTGACATTATCAGCCACACTAGCCAAAAAGACCCAATTGCTGATAATGTCGATTTTCTTTTTATCGGTGCCGATCCAGTATGAACCGATATGTCAATGCACCTCTACTTTTAATGTTTTCAAAGTGCTTATTTCTATGTTCTTCTTAATCCTTGTGTTTTAATCAAAGTAATTATTTATTTCCAGTCTTCTTTGTGCTTCATCTGTGCCTTTATATACACTTTTAATTCACTCTTCATTTTCTTAGTTTTGCATTGAATTTTAAAGTTTAGGTAGTTCAGATACTACACTGAGGTGTATACTATAAGACTCAAATAAGGTCTCTCTGTTTTGGCCCAATAGGGACACAGGCAATTGTGTTGGTGTCTATTTTCCCCTGAAGAAACTCTCTTTACCAAGACTGATGCGTAAGTAGTGAAGGATAACCAAGTCATTCTTTGTTTTTCAAAACTGGCTTATTCACAAAAAATTCTTGTACTGATCACTTATCACTGGATACCAGCAAAATTAACATAAGACAGATGTCAATCTTAAATATGTAAATCTGAAAACCTTTTAAACTAAAGTCTGCTTTTGCTTACCTAATTGGAGCACAATAAAGTGCATGTGATTTATTAGTGATTAACATACAAGCCAACTTGATGTTTGAAGTTCTACTCCTGCTTTAACATGAAATGTTTGGACAAATCTACATTTCCCCTTCCTCATCTGCAAAAGAGCAGTAACTGCTACTGGGGTTCTGAGAGGTTTAAGGTACTGTGCTCTCAAATTGTGGACAATCTTGAATGGGTGTTCAGCTGCACAGCTAACTACAATGGATCCTACAAACATAGAACAAAAAGTTTCTTAGCTCCCAGCCCAGAGGTCTAGAATTATACTGGTCCATAACTACAGACTTGGTGATAGTAAGTTAAGAACCAGTGCTAAACAGCATGATAGACTGAAGATCCAACAATTCTTTGGTCTTTAGTACAATGAAAATTAAGATTAGAAATGACTGAGTTTTAATTTTCTTAATGCTGAAAACTATTTGTATTCTTTTTGGTCCATGAAATAAAAAAAATAACATTTTGTCTTTCTACTTACCATTATATCCCCCGCCCCCACCCTTCAGTTGACATCAGCTCAAGAGCTAGAATCATAACTGTACAAAGCCAGAACATTTGGAATCTCAAGCTTTCAATCCTAATTTCAAAAACTAGGGTTTCATGAGATGACCACCTATTAATATGAATGCTCAACTGAAGTAAGGGTGGGGGGAGAATCAAATCAGAGTAACTTTACAACCAATATGGTATCACCAAATTAAATCTCTATATTTATTAGCTATGTACAATTTTTCCTCAGTTTCACAAAACTTAGATGTAATCATTCTTCCTGAAGATTACTATTTGAGCCGCAAAATACTGACATAGGTTGCAGTTTCAAAGATCAAAAAGTAAAAAGACTCTTATATCAATAGAGAAGTCAAAGGAGATCAGAACAGAATCAAAACTTGAAAAATGACTATACAAAAATAGCATCCACATATTAAATAGACTTGCTCTGGTGCATACAGAGTCACACTCACTGACTTCAGTGACAAAGGCAAGTTTAACACCCCTCTATGTTTAGCCTTGCAGAACCAAAGAAGCTCAAGGAAAGTGACCCATCTCTTTCCTGATTCTCACATCAACAAACCTGAGTTCAGTTTACAGGACTACTGTCCTTCCCACCTCTAGACGTAGATGTTATAGTGAAAGTAACAGGGCTGTTTCATCCTGATGGTATGTTTTGAAGACAAAGGGTGTAACTGAAGACAGCATTAGGCTGGAAAAATCTGCATTATGCAGATATTTTACAAGCCAGAAAGAACAAAGCTTAACTTTCAGATGCCAGGCAGATTCTTCAGGGATGGCAGTTACCATTTCAGCCATGCAGTTTTGTAATAGAAGCCACAGACATGCATAAGTGGAAATGTAAGATACAGTTTTCATGAGGTCACTCTTCAAAGCAGACCTGCATTCCCTCCCTCATATCTGACTTAAGCTTTGTGAAGTTGCACACAGGTGATATTCAAAAGCAGCAAAACTGCGTAAAACACATACAGGTCACACCAGCTGCCAAGGCTAGTAAGTATTAAGAAATAAGCTGTATTTCACAAGGTGCCAGAGCTAATAAGTGCTTGGCATACCAGTGAAGTTTTCTAGAGACATCCTACACTAATCATGAGATTGAAGTTCTAAATCCTCCAGTTCCACATTCAGCCTGTCTATAATCATGCACAGAAGCCTACCACCTTCAAAAGAGAGCCTTGGCAGCAGAATCAGAGAAGACTCGCTTTGAAGGGAATTACAGTGTTCATGAGTGCGCTTAATGAAAACCCAAAGAAAATAAGGTTTATCTTTAGCCTTACCAGCCTTAAGCCTTATTCCTTCATACATACAACTTTGTACAAGAAATCTTTTATACAGCTCAAGTTTTAATCAGATTGTTTTTTAGTGTTCTAAAAAAAGGAGCACATCAAGATAGAGAGGAATGGCTCTACTATGGTGATGGTGACTGATCACAAAGCAGCACAGCAAATACAAGTAGCTTCAAGAAGAATACATTCTCATGCAGTAATTCTTTTGCTGGAAACCTTATGGTGAATACATACTTCCTTTGGGGTATTATCATGTGGACAGAACCACTCCAGTTGCGGTCTCTGTTAAGACTATACGGTTACTTATTACACAAGTTCTTTAGTTAAAAAGTGATCAGAAAAACTAAAGAAAATGCAATACAGAGTCGAAACTCTGTTTTATGTCCCCTTTACGTAAGGGACTAATTTGCTGCAGCAATAAACAAGGAAAAGTGGCAGAGGGAAACGTGTATACTTCATGTTATGACAGTCAGTTATATTTTATAGCTTCTATTGCCCACATTTTTGAGAGGAAAACAATTAAAAAGTATGAGAGACCTATTGGACTAAATCAGGAGATAAAAAATACCCCAGATTTGTGAGAGTAGTTTACCTGGATGGCTGTCTGGCCACTTTGCAAATCCACCAACAAGGCGATCTTGAGTTGACAAGATATAATTCCTATTTTTCTCAAAATTGGTATACTGGAATATTTTTAAGAGCTGAAAAAAAATAAGTGGTACGACAATACGTGAACAAAAGTATTAATATTTAATTGGTGCAAAAGAGCATAAATCTAGTAAGATTTAAGGCCCTACCATTTTTGCAAAAAAGTACTAGATAAGTATAGTACAGTACAAAGTGCAGAGAGCAAGATAGCAATTTTAAGGTCATGCCAGCCTGCACTGGATGCAGCTATGCTGCAGCAGTGACAGATAAAGGAGTTAAACTAGTTAATAAATATATAAAAATGCCTCACTACTGTATTACCTTAAGAGTTGCTCCCACCCAGAAGGAGTAACACGTGTCCACAGGTTTGTTGGGCCGTCCATGGTAGCCATTCTGTTGCCTCATTATACACCATCTTCTTATCCTGTTCAGTTCTTTTTCAGAGAAGACTTCCTCCAATTTACCCATCAAGCACAATGATGCAATTCCACAGAACGTGGAGCCACCTGCAAGAAGAAGAATAGTCTCTGTGATGCTTTGAAATAGAAATTTAGCCTTAGTGAGGATCTGGCTAACTGAGATCATAAAAGCTACAGCATAATACAAAAAGTAAATAAATAAATCAGACACCTGCTTAATTAGAAAACCTAATTTGAAATCTAACCTCCAGAGGAAAAGTAACCCTTTGTCTAGCACAGACACCCGCCACAAAAAAAATTACATGTGCTATTCTACAATGACTAGAGCTTAATTTCCTTACAGCTGGAGGCTCTATCAGTGCTGCACCATTCATGCAACTAGTAAACAGTGATGTAACAGTGCTGTATTCACTGCTGCAGACCTGTTTCCATACGTAATCAACAAGCAAATGAATGGGAAGCCAGAAAGCTATCTGAAACGATGCTGCCAAATTCAGAGACACAGCAAGCAAGCTATCTATACCAGTGTTTCTTAACTTTTAAGTAGCAAGTACTCCCTAATTTCTGAAAATTTTAATAAGTACCCCAACACTCAATTTTCCAGGGGATTTTATATTTACAGACTAATGTGTGCCATATGTTGGAAGAAGGGCTGTGTATATAAGGCCATGATATGACAGATGTCTGATCTGGTGTGGGTAGGATTGCCACCTTTTATACCAGGGGTGCACAACTCAAATATGTACCTGGGCTAGAGGTGATGTTGACCAAAGCTAGAAGGGCTGAACCCAGGTGCCGTGCAAAGCACGGCATGCCAAATTATTACTGGGAAATTTAAAGTGCTGCAATGCATGGCGCACCAAATTTTTTGCCATAGTTTTGAGAGGAGGAAGGGGCAAGAGAGAAAGTGAGAGAGAGACAGAGAGGAAAAGAGGGTGAGAGAGAGCGTGTTGAGGTACCCACATACCCCCTGCCTGTATCTCGCGTACCCCCAGGGGTACACATACCACAGGTTGAGAAACTATGGCCTATACCACTCCAATGTAGAAAAGTGGAAGAAAAATTTTCAATTCACTACCCTCTACAATAAGTCTCATTGTGTCTGGGAAAAAAAAAGGATCATAAGGTTGGAGAGAGAGAAACATTTCCAGTGTAAGAAGGGGGAAGATAAAGTCATTCCACCCTTAATTTCTACAGAACATTCACTGTTGTTTTTAAGCCACAATAAAGACCTTTGCCTTCTTTCTGCTAGTGCTCCAGCTGGGATGATTTATTTGAGGCACAGAAACAGAAAATTGCTGAACCCTCTCCTCCCAGGGCATCCCCTTCCTCACCCCTGGTTCCGATTCAACTGCTCTCAATGGAGCCAATGAATGATGGTTTATTAATCGAATTAATGCTACAGTTTCACCAGAATGGATATCAGTCAGTTTCCTTCAACCGGGGTGGGGGGGGGGGGTGTCACAGAGGGAAAAGCTAGACTTCCACATCAAATTACTGAAGTAGCCAAATTCCTGAAGTATATTGTAGATAACCTGCCAGTGTATTTAGTTAGCTCATGCTTAAAAGTCCAACTAGTTACAAGCTGCCAGCAGTTGTGCATTGTTTCAGGCTCTCTCACTGCTACACTTCAGCAAGTTTACAACAAAAAATATACCACCATGAAGCTTCTTACACTGCAGCTGGCCTACTGGGAACTGATCACTTCACCTTCTTCTCACTGCACTGACAGTAAACACCAAGTACTTCCCTAAAATTGCTGATGTAGAACATTTATCTGATGGACAGAAGGGAACCACAAGACCATATCCATTTCAAGATGACGTCTACACTATGAAAGTCTAAGGACCCCATTATAACTACAAAGAACACTGCAAAACACACAGTGGTGCTCCAGACTTCAAGAGAATAGACTGAAGTCCGAAACAAAACAGGAATCTCAAGTAATTTCTGCATCACTTTCACACTAACTAAACTGTCAAGATTTCCTGAAACCACACTACAACTTGGTAGTGAATTACTTTATTTGAGTCTACCTAATCCTTGTTATTACGGAATATGCCATAGCATACACTTAGGTTAAAAACTGCCTGGGTAAGAACCTAAATTAAGTTGTTGAGGCAATATGTGGGCTCATTTAGATCAAGACACACCACTAGCAATACAAACATGCTGTGAACTGGGTCCAATGAGAATTAGGCTCCTTTACTTCACAACTAACTTCATTCTAGCATCAATACGTAGAAGAGAGACTAGAGCAAAAGCATGGTGGAATGCTAAGGAACCATGGATAAATTTGTTAACTGTAGACATTATTAAATAATCCCTTTGAAATGAGTTTTTTTGTTTCCAAAATGCCATGGAACAATCATCATATCATGCAAGAACCAGTGTTCACTATAAGGTTATCAAACCTTTAACATACATGCACACATATAATAACATTGGCTTTTCCATATTAGAAATGATCCAGCTGCTCTAGCAATTATTGCCACAGACAAATAAATAATGTATGCACTGAAAACAGCAAGTTAAGAATTCCCGACTTCATGCTTTTCAGCTTGCTGCTTATAAAAGCTAACTGTAGTCCTAAAATTCAATTGACTCTGTGGTTCAGTGCAGGAAAAGACGATAGGGTTTATCTGTGGTTGTCTGAACTGGAGAGTACCCTCAGGAAGGAGAGCTGCATGAGGACACTTGCAGGACTCCCAAAACAGCAATGATAACATTGTAAGGAGGCTGCTCTCCCAATATACAGCTTAGGTCCCCTCTAAGAGTTAGTTAGATAAGAACAATAGAGAGCAAAACTGTTTAGCACGCTCTCTCTCTGCCTCCAAACCTGTACAGGTCAGACTGTAGGGTCATAGGAAAAAGGATGGCAACACATTCCGAGAGGTGCTTTGGATTTATTGTACTTCCTTAACCACCCAAAACATCCAAAGGGAGGGAAAGCATGATAGGAATGCTGAATGCCAAGTGTGGAAAGCAGCTTAAAGTTCACTGTAGCCATTTTTAGAGTGGAGAAAACATTTTGAGGGCCTTACCATGAGATTCCAGCCCAGCTCCCTGTGCCAGCCCATTATCGTATGACTGAAAAAGAAAAACCACTTCAGAACCAAATTATTCATATCAACATACATCTCCAGCATCCTGCATATATATTTTCATTTTGTAAGAAGAATTTGTATCAAGACACAGTATTCAATTTTTAAACCAGCTGATAACTTCTGAACAACCTGCGCCTTGAAAAGTTAACAGCAATAAAATGCCCTGCCGGCAGCTTTTATAATTGTTTTCTCAAAACAAGATCAATGTTTCTGTTTCAGTAGCATTGTATGATAAGCGCTGAATAATTCTATAGCATGTCATTGCAAAGTTACAGGGACAGAAAAAGCCAATTCTGTGGGACTTCTTAAATCTATTCTGTTGGAGCTGTGTTTTTTTTTTTTTTGTTTGTTTTTTTACACACAGAAAGTAGTTTCTGAATTCAGACAAGATGAAACTAACTTATTTATGCTGTTATCTTCACCAAACCAAGAGCAGGAAAGTAACAAAACATTACAAGTAACTTGGCACTGAAGTACATTACATACTCTAGTAAAGACTTGCACACATCAAGCCCATAAGAGCAACAAGAAAATGCAGCACAAACATACTTGTTAAGCATGAAAAAAAAAGCTTGAGATGAAATGAAGCAGCTCTATGAAAAGCTACCTTTAAAAATACCAGTGTTGGGAGTAATTTCTTCCCTCTGGTGTAAGCTTTAGCAATCAGTTAAGCGCTAAAATCTCTTGTATTAAATCTGCCTAAAAACATATTTAAAAACAAAACACAATTTTTTATAAAGGCAGCATTGTGGGTTCCACGTTTATGGGATTAGTAATTCCAAGCCATGTCTGTTCAGTTTATCTATCTATCTATCTATCTGTATTTTCTAAAAAGGGTCACAACCCCTTGAATACTGAAGTCAAAGTTGACTCTAAGGTTTACAGATCAACAAAAATACTACATCAAAAACTTTTAAGTCAGTGACATAAAGAAAAGAGTGCTAGTCTATCATGTACAAAGATGCATTTTTTAAATAGATTACTTTTTCAGACTAGAGGTACACTGTAATATTGTAATGTTCAATCATAACATTTGCCTTTATTGGAGTACATGCTTAAATGTATGATTCAGGAAACAATTTTCTGTATGAAATTTAAGTTTGTGTTGCACTTCTGACACAACAATACTAAACCAAGAGACAGAGGGCAAGAGAAAATAATGAATTCTAAAACAGGAAAGATCTGTTATAATGACTGATATGGCTATTCAGTCTTGCTGTTGTCTAAACAAATTACTGTACCTCAGCTGCAAGTCAATTTGCATAGCTGAAGAGCTTATAAACTGACTTGCACTGAAATATATAAATAAGTCTCACTTACTTGCAACTGGTGACATAGGATATTGAAACAAAACCAAATCTTTGTATGGCAGTTCACTACTGAACAATGCCAACTATTTTGCCTGATAATTAACGTGCATATGAGAACAAAGTAACACTGTTAAAAAAGAAGCATTTATACGGGAAAAACCCCCCACTAAAACAACGATATGGTTTATAAAAGAAATCCAGTACTGTAAAAACTGAAATAATATTTGCTTCAAATGTAATCATGAAATTTATTTTTGAATGCAAAATATTTGTACTTAACGTTATTTTATAACAGCAGCCACGTAGTATTTAATAGCAGCGTTGGATATTAGCATTCAGGCATCCTGTGTGTTATGCAATTTTAAATACTGTATTTATAAACTCTGTAAAATTCCTTTTTACATAGTGGGAAAATAGTCACCTTGGCAACCTATATAAAGCAAAAATTGAGCAGCCTTTGTTAATAACAGCTCTATTTTATTATTTTCCGATAGTATAATAAATATCTGTTTTCTAACTTCAATGGATCTGGAGATTCATCAGACTTGAAATCAAGCAGAGGTAAACCAAGTGATAAGCAGGATGAATGCTTTCCAGGTACAGTATTTTGTAACTTACCTGGGTTAGAAAGGCTTGCTTAAAAGACTGAATTCCCAATTGTGTGAGGAACTGTGCCTATCCTGGATAGCGAGACATGAGAACTCAACTGTCAAGCTTACACTAAGGTTATACAATCCAGTAGTGTTTGACACTAATCCAAAAATGAATATAGCAGGCTAGAAAGCAGAGATCGCCTATAAACACCTTACTGAGGATCCCTGCTGCATTGGGGGCTCCCTAGCAAGCGTAAAGCCAACAGAGCATCAAAATATCATGCAAACATAGGCCATACTCCCGCTGATGAGGGGTCCCTTGAGGAACGAAATGCAGCAGAGGACCCAGACAAGCAAATCCCAATGTATAAATGTGTAATTTCTTATGACTGACAAATGTCTTAATTTGGGTAAAGGCTGTGAACAGAGACTGTACATCTTCAGTGCTTGTGCTGTGAATGCTACCACGTTCAGAGACCTAATGACTACAACATGATAACAAGTCTCCCTTCTCAGTTACATTCTTTTCCATCTCACAGCACAGGAGAGCTGCAGGCATGTTTAACTCGAATCTCAGATCCTGCAACAGCCCCGCTTATTCAATATGTGCAGCGTCAGGAACAAAACTAACTCACATGTTGACTGTATCAGGGATGACTGCAGTAACCAGATTCTAAAATATGGTGGGATTGAAGGTGTATCCACACTTCTGTGCAAAGATACCTGTGCTAAGTCTAAACGATCGAGAACGGATACTGAAAGCTGTAAAGCCATAGGAGCATGGAGCTTCAAATGGGCTACTTTGCCTGCTACAGTATCTTTAGACTGCGCCACAGCATTCTACCTCATTCCAATCTGAGGGTTCATTGATACAGCACGGTTATACATTTTTAATGGAATATAATAAATGTAGGTCTTAACAAAGGTAGAAAATTTGAAATTAAATTTGAAACATTTATATGCTAGAAATAAATTATATTTACAAAATACAAATAACTGACTTCTTACCCCTGGCTCATATACAATACTATAATTATATTAACAGCACACGTGCAGCAGGGCTGTACATTGTACACATTTAAATGTATAATGCTAATATCTGAAGATTTTCCCTACTACATAGAAGTCTAATATCTTTTTAACAAACACAGGAAAACTCACCATACTTCTTCTAATATAGTCTATTGCCTTCTTCATATCCATGCCTGACCAGTTGTTGAGCATGTAGCAGATACAGGAAGCACAGTACACAAATCTCATGTCATTCTCGCTACCTTCAAGCACAGCGCAGAAACTGAAAGAGAGATTTTTTTTCAATATGCACTGCAAAGGGTATCACTTTATTACGATGAACATCAATAGTAACTATTCAGAATAATGCAACATTTATTTCTCCTTTCAGGAGGAAATTCCTTATATATTTGGACTACCCAGAAGGACTATACTATGATTAGAAAGATATCTAATCCACGCATACATTGAATTATTAAATATCCTCTGTAAAAGATATGCTTCTATCAAACAAAACAAGATTAAACGAACCATTTACATTTTAGAGGCTTTTGCAATTTTAGCTACGCTAATGTCAGACTACTTGTATTAATATTTAATAAAATGTTTCAATGCCCGCATTCTTCCATCCACTATCATACTGCATCACTACCCACAACAGAATCTTTTTGCCTACTAATCCCTTTATAGGAATCCTAGGGCCCTAGTTATTCACTATTTAAGGATCAGGTTTTATATGTACAAAGATATTAAATCAGTATCATTAGCGCTGCACATACTGTGTGGGGAAATAATCTGGCATCCAGTTTCTTTGATTGGGTGACCCTTTTGAATTTTATCTTAGTCCTTCTAACAACTAGAAAATGAATGCAGCATGAATTAACACATCCGAGTCAGACATCGATCTTTATGTTGCTTGACATCAAAAACCATATCACTGAATTGCTTTGCTTCCTGACAAGAGTTCATTTGGCTCAAATATATAGCTAGGATACTTAGGAGCTTTTAGAACCCATGAACCAGGCAGGTGAACTGAAGTTGTTTGAAAATGTCCTCTGACTGACACATTAATCTAAAGAACAATTTATCTTTTTGATTTGAAAAACACCAACTCAAATACCACACTGAGCCAAACAGTAAGAGAAGAGCATCAGATATAGACACGCTAATAATCCAATGTGCCTGCAGATGCTGACTTATACCAAAACTAGACAGACAAATGCACACTTTTTTCCCCATAGGAATATTTGGCTCATTTCATGTCAGTCATTTTATCTAGACATGAGATTCAAGTCCAAAAACACATGCAGCTCATTCCTCATCTAGAATTCTCAGATTTTAAAATAAAATTTAGAATTATATTTTCATTTTGTCTGAATTCCTGAAAAGAGTTTTACTTGGTAGAGTCCTCTATAACATATTATACACATCATCTTAGCACAAATTGCAAATACTTTGATTTTTCATTACACTTTTTGATAGCCCATTCTGGGCTAGATGTGGCCCACAGGCTACCAGCTGGATAACCCTGACATATAATATATATATTTTTAGACCAATTCTATTTCCTTTAGATGTTGAAATATAATGATTCAGTTTAAGGGAACAAAAAATGTTACTTGGGCAACACTGAACTACATTTTACTGTAACATTATAGTAAGCTTATTACTAGAGTGTTATCAGGTATGGGAAAGTCTCTCTTTTTCAAAACTAAGCGCACGTGCAAAATACTTTCACCCTAGTTAACAACTGATTTAGAAACCATCTGCTAACTTACAATTGCTCTGAGGTAAAAACCAGTTTCTACTTAAAGGAAGGTTTGATGATAGAATTGGAAGCTCCAATGCAAAAACCAAGTGTAAACATAATTCAGAAATGGAAAGGATCCTTTTGCAATGAAGAGCCCCAAACAGACAGTTCGTTCATTAACTAACAAAGCCTCTTCAATGAATGACAACTGGAGGGGCTGCACACACGGTTTTTTACAAATCAGAATAATGGATTCACAGAATTATAAAACGGACATGTATTCTACACGCAGCCTGCTCCTTCATAATTTGCCCATACTGCCTTTTATCTAACGTTCCCCTTCAAACATTTCTAACCTGCTAGTGTTCTGGTTTAACTTTATGTATGTGTGTAATTTAATTAAAACAACACTGTTTATTGTTTAAGTTCTGATTGCTAAACTAGTCTTAAAGCAGAATGTGACGGAGAACGAGCTTCCTTATTGTCAATAATATTTAGTGCATATGCTTAGCAAGAATAACTTAATTAGTTGAGTTTTTGGAAGCCTGCATTAACTGAATTTGGGAAACTCAGGCTTATGAAGGTCAAAAGTATGATGACAGCCCTAGCTATTTCTAACTGCGTACCTCTGGTTTCTAGGAGCAAATAGCTAAAGCAGGGATGAGGAACCTCCAGGCCACTGGTCAGCTAGGGACTCTATTTCCCAACCACCCCTGCCCGCATGTCTCATGCCAGTCTTCATGAAGGACCTCAGCCACATTGGCAGTGCACGTGACAGAGCAGTGGAAGGTGCTGTTCCAGAGCTGCCGGAAGCATGGGACAGGGGCAGCTTGCATGGGACAGGGGCAGCTTGCTCCGGAGCTGCCATCTGTAGCCTGCATTCTCCAGACAGGGGCACGCATGCATGGGATCATGGCTCCACCCTAGCTCCAGATGGGCTGTCACTGCTGCAAGGAGCCAGAGCAGAGCCACAATCCCCTACATGCATGCCCCTGCCTGGAGCTTGCAGGCTATAGATCGCAGCTCTGCCCTGGCACTGGAGCAAGCTGCCCCCGCCGCAAGATCCCAGCAGCTCCGGGGCAACCCGTTACGCTGCTCTGCCGCATACGCTGCTGGCTGGCTGAGGCTCAGGTCTCCATGGAGACCAGCACAAGCCATGCGGGCAGGGGCGGCTAGGAAATGGAGTCCCCGGCCTACCAGATCCGGCCCATGGGGCGGATGTTCCCCATCCCTGAGCTAAAGTTTCAAGTACTGAATGGGCTACAATGCTTGGATTTTTGCTATATATTTACCAATTTAGTGTAGGATCCCCTAAAATCTGTCATGAAAAAAACCCCAAAAGAATTATGCTTTCACAGACATATCATTAGCCTCTGATTTTACAAATGGTGTCTGAGGGCTCCTGTCTTTTTTCAATTATATGCATTACTGTGGGCTAACACAAATATATCCCTTGATGGAGGGAAGTATTAAAAACAAATGCAAGCTATTAACTGATCTGGGGTGCTGAACAGCAACAGAAGCTTATGCTTTCTACAGAAGACTTTTTCCCCCCACCAATTTCCCTTCCTCCCATCCCTACCCCATATAAAAATTTCTTGAGTCAACTGTGGTTAAGTGTGGCTAGTTTCTGAGAAACAGTATTATAAGGGTCTTCAGAACCTAACATACTGTTCAATTTGTCTCCTGAAAAAATGTTATAAGGAACTAAGGGCTGTCTCTCTCATATCTCTCTACGTACAAACAGCAGTGTATTACCAAATGCAATCCTTACATTTCTGACTACCTTTAAAATCCTGAATCAGAAAGCTACTGTCATGACAATTCGATCAGTCTGCCATCCACTAAAAACAAACAGGGAACTACAAACAAAATATTTTTCTCTCTCAAACTCTAGAAAGTCAGACACTCCATATGTTGCTTTTCTACAGTCTTCTTTTAGAGGACATCAAGGAGTCTAGCACCACACAGAAAGTCAAACAAGTCTGTTTAATATGCATCTCGTGAAGAAACTGGGGATTGAGAAACAAAAAAAATTTTTTTTCAAGCTAATCCCTACACTGCGGACACAGGTTCACCCATGATCTATTTATGGGACTGAGGAATAGAGCAGCATTAGTTTATGCAGTGGAGTTAGTCCCCCCCTGACTAATGCCAGACACCTGTAAGTCTGGCAGGATCAGCTCTCCTTTCTAGATAGGACACTACATTTCAATGTCTAATATCCAGAAGACAGACTGAGAGGTTAAGCCAGCTAGATTTCCCCAAAACTAAACACAGCTCAGATAGCTGAGCATGTTCCTTTGCAGGACTTAAGAGCACCATCAAAATCAGAGAACAGGAAGGCATATTAAAGTTCATTCAGGCTTGAATGAAAGACACCACAGCCACAGACTTCTTAATAGGGAACCTTTGCAATGCTAGACAAGCATAACTGTTCTTTGAATATAAGTAATCTCAGGATACCAGTAAACTATACTGCCTCTGTTTGGCCCCTGATAACTTACTTGTAGCTTAGCTTCTACAGATAACAGGAAGCTTTTGGTAAATGGAGAACTGTTAAAACCAGGTGTTTCACAGCAATATGTAGTATATTTGTTCCACAATTACATTTTCCTCAAAATTTTCCAGTGTGCTTTGCTATAAAGAAAGTCTTGTACCTTCCATCTTCCAGTTGGAGAGCCTTCAATCCAATCAATAAGGCATCTTTGTTCACTCGACTCAGGTCATCGCCAAGAATAACCAAACATGATAATCCAGTGTAAGTCATTGCTATGTGGCCACTGTCGTATGGATGAGATATACCAGGACCCTTAAAAACAAAAACATTTAGCAGAGGATATTATCAGACAACAAAATGCATATAGGCAGCCCAAACTTTTGTGTTTTGTTTACCTTTATAATTCATCTCTGTGCAACTAATTTTGGTCAAGTGGAATACAGCCAGCCAGATACATCTGAAATAAATTAAAATTATTGCACAGCTCCATTTAACATCCTTGCCAACTTTTGCCAAGCTGGAAACCAGTAGAAGGCTATGGGAGTTTTTAAGAACAGGGTAGACAAGCACTTGTCAAAAATGGTTGAGTCAGGGATGATTCTGCCTTGAGCAGGGTATTAAACTAGATGACCTCCTTCCTAATGTCTCTCCCAGCCCTGTTTTCTATCATTCTAAGCTTCACAAATCCTTTTTTTTTTAAAAAGGAAAGTGGGCTCTACTAAAAACTGGTAATTACACCAATAAATAAATAACTAAATCAGTAGTACTCATTCATAACAGCTTTGTAAAATGAGATCACCACATTCAAGGCTAATACTGAACTTTTCAGCTACAGTTCTCATCTCACTTTACTAAGGTAAAGTGAGATTAATCACATTTTGTGCATAAGCAAATGAGAGTTAGAGGCAGCAATTGGCCAACGGTCAAAGAGCAGAACCCAACATCACAAAGGAAGTGGGGGACAATCTTTTGCTAACACAAGTTAAACCCTGAGCCCCGAGTGCCACTCCAATCATCTTTCCCTGCTGCTCTAGTTTCTGCTCCCTGCCAGATCTGCTGCTCTACTCCTGACCCTCTTATTTCCTACCTGATCTGCTACTCTACTTTCTGCTCCCTGTCCGATCTACCACTGTGCTCCTGGCTCCCTCCCTGATCTCACATGTGCCACACAGAGAGGCTGTCTGCGTCACTTGCAGCATGCATGTCATGTCATAGGCTGGCCCCACACTAAGGCCTCTGACTGTCTGATGACTTAGTTACTCAATCACACTGCTTACAACAGTCCCTTCTACAAAGGGCTGACAGTACATTAACAAGTATTTGGAGTTATTCATTTAATACTTTCTATATCCACAAATTCCCTCACATCATTAGATGTATGTATTAGCAAGTATGAGAAATACAACATGCCAGATTTCTGCAATTTTCTCTTTGCTGGCTGAGGGAGAACCTTTTATCTCTATTACACAAGACCTAAATAGGAGATGAAACAAAAACTTTAAAGGCATGCTACAAAGCTAAAATGAAAGGTGAGCTCCAAAACACAACAGAAGCAGCATCAATTTGTAGGCATTCATAAGGGAAGACAGTTTTTCTTGTGATGCCCTTAGGTGCACCCATCACTGGATTATTGTACTACATCAAATACCACATGTTGCAATGATTCAAATATGTAGGGCAGACCTTTTAAAAAACTGCAAGTATCAAGGCTTCATAAAAGGAAGAGAAGATTTTTTTAAATGCTAGGAGAGCCATTTCTCTACTGAACACAGTGGAAACCAAATGGGGATTTTAGCACATTTTAATAGGGTTTTTATTTTAAACTATTTTCATTTTCACTTTCCGGTCCTTTTTTAAAAATCTATGCAAGAAAATAATATTAAGTTTTTAAAACTATTAAATAAAAACCCTTATTCTTAGCACTAAATTCAGGAGAAATGTACTCATCTTTCCTGCCTTTACTCTGAGAATGGATACACAAATTGGCTGTTTATTTTCCATTCACCAATCCTGTTATCTTTATAGCTATAAGGGCCAAATATTTTTCAAAGTAAAAGTTTTGCTTCAACTGCAAAATTTGGCACCAAATCTCATAGCTGTGACATAAAAGGAATGCAGACTACTTAAAGTCTCCACAGACAACAGGTACCTGGACCTGTTGACAGACAACAGGTACATGACCCAACTAGGGAAGTGGATGGGGAGAAAATTGTCAGGCAAATCCCTATTCTTGCAGAAACTATACAACAGATTAAATTAATGCTAGTAACTCAGTGGCAGGGAGGTGGTCTGTAGATAGTCCTTACTCTGGAGATTTTCAGTCCAAAAAAAGGGGAAAAAGGGGTGCAATAGGTAATGTTTCACTTTCTGCCACGTATTATGAGGGGCAGAAAAAAGGGAGAGAGATTGACGTGAAGAAGGTAAGGCAAGCAGTCAGAGTAGACAGTAAAAAATGTCCAGCATTCAAGATTTAAAGTAGCATCTGTTGGCCCAGCATCCTCCTGAACTGGAAAGCTCACTGCTGAAAGTGAAAGCTGTCCAACAAGTGCTGGATCTGGGCACAGAGTCCTTCCTCCTCCAGCAAACAGTGGTCACATACAGACATTCATTTTCACCGGTAAGAATCTCTCTGAAATTCTTATTAACAGAAAAATAGCTGGAGCATACATACCTTCCAGCCTCCTAGCTGGAGAGTTACACAGGTGAGCTGCCCAGCAGCCATGGGGCCACCCTCATGCTTATGGGAGCCTATCCTCTCCCTGGCCTAGGAAGGGGGCAGGATGTAAAAAGGTAGCCCCCCAGGTAGCCTAGATGGCTGTATGCAGTAATTTAAAGCTGGAGGCACAGGGAAGAAGGGTCAGGGATAGCTTCTCTGACCCCTAGTCGTCCAGCTTTTAAATAACTGCATGTGCCTCTCAGCTGAGCAGCACATACAGCATTTAAAGCCTGTGAGGCTGGGACCTCAGGTGGGTACAAGTGCCCTGGCCCCACTCCCTTCGGCTTTGCAATCCCCACTCCTGCTGCCCAGCTAGGCAGCGCGGGTGATAGCGGGACACCAGTGGAAGCCAGTACACCAGGCTGGGAGGGGAAGGGAGCAGCAGGGCAAAGCCCCCAACCACTTCTCCAAATCAGGCAGTCCCCAGTTTGGGGAAAAGTCCCCTCCCATCTGGGAGGGGAATGTACAAATGCTCACTCTTAGGAGAGAAACTCCTGGAAGCGGTAATTTCCCCCCAGGGGAAATTCACTGAATGCTTGTATGCTTCTCATTTCTACTAGTAGAACAGCAATTCTCTTTGGCAGAAATGTAACGCCCATATGTCACGGTGCCACCATTTAACACCTCTGTCATCTTGTTTCTCAGATGGATGTCATCTCTTGGCCATGACTCTCACTGTAGCTTATCCCTGGCCCATCTGCTGTGGCAGGTGCCAGGGCTGGGTAGTTAACCCTCTGGGCTAGGCTCCACCCTCAATATGATCAGCTCTTCTAGTCACAGTTCATCTGACAAGGGAAAAGGACCCTACTGAGACATGGGTAGTGGGACTGACCGTCATTCTCCTCAAGGATATGAATGGGGATTCAGGATGGGCTTCACATCATCATATCCTACTGCTGCAGTTGCTCCTAGCTGGTGTCTGAGGAGCTGGGGGCAACGGGAAAGACAGGGCATAGGAGGCAAAAGGAATAGAGGAGAAAGAAAAGGAAGGAAGGAAAGAAGAGAAGTCTGTAGTACTGGCATTGACTTTCCACATAGGACCATGCTGCTTTTCTTCCACAGATCATCTGAGCTGGAGGAAAGAAGAGGGGACCAATGACAAGTTTTAAGACTTTTTTTTTCTCAGCATTTAATCTGAAACACTGATCAGGTCAATGAACTGTATCGCACTATATTTAATCTAACTGGGACACATGCTAGACCAGGGGTCGGCAACCCCCGGCACTATTGCTCGACACGCCACCACCAGCCCCAGCCCTGGGTAGCTGCTGCCAACCATGGAGCCTGGGCTGCTCCCAGCAGGAAGACAGGAAGCTGCAAGCAGCAGCTACCCAGAGCCAGGGCTGGGTGCAGCAGGCAGGCTGCAAACAGCTCTGTACTGGCACGTGCACCCGCGCCTTGGAGGGGGCAGTGGGAGGGGCCTGAGGCAGCTCAACCCCAGTCTCTCCCCGGCTCCCAGCACAGAGGTGATGACTGGGCTCTGGGCAGCTGCAGCAAGCAGCAGGCAGGCTGCAAACGGTTGTGCTGGGCTCCACCGCTCCGGCATCAGCTCCATGCTGGCGGTGACTGTGTCCTCAGAGCGGACAGCAGGAGGGCTGCGCTGCCTCGGGCAGGGCAAGGCAGCCGTAGGCATAGCCGCCCTACCCAGCACCATCCTCCCCAACCTAGTCCTGGCATCTGCTGCCTAAGGTAATGGGGCAGGGGCAGGTCCTGGTCCTGAGCCCCTTGCTCAGCTGCCTGGGACAATGGGATAGGGGCCCTGGGGCTCGGTGCCTGCCCAGAGGGTTGAGGGATGGGGGAGCTCAGGAAGCGGAGCCCTCCCTGCTGAGTCCGCAAAGCAGAGCAAGAGGGAGAGGGTGAGTGTTGGGCTTCAGTCAGCCCCAGCCCAGCCCTGAGACTGCCAGCAGGCTCCTCTCCCTGGCCGGGCAAAGCCAGGGCTGACCCCCGCCCTGGTAGGCAAGGGCAAGGCCAGGAGCAGGGTGAGCAGCGCTGGGAATGCCCTGCCGGGCCAGGCTCCCCCTGCCTCTCCTGGTGTCAGTGGCGGCACGCTGGAGCAGGACTGGGAGGGGAGGAACGGCTGCCCTCCCCACCCCAAGCTTTCTGGCCCCTGCCACTGGGACCAAGGCTAATGCCCAGCTAAGGAGTAGCTGTGTGGGGACTGACAGACCCAGCCCACCCTGCTGCATCAGTTCCTCCTAGCTCTTGTGGCTTCCCCTGGAGCAGAGCCTGGGAGAGTGGGCCTGGAAGACTCCTGGTCTGCACCTTGGGGGAGCAGAAGGATAAGGGGCAGGGAGAGGCTGAGGTGAGCAAAGCCTGGCCCTCTACTAATCCCCCTGAACCCCCTGGCTGAGTGGGAGGGGGGCTTAATCCCCTCTATTTCTCCCACAAACTGGGGGGGGTCAAAGAGTCCCTGAAACAGGCTGCTCAGCCCTCTAGCTGATGCCAGCATGTGTGCTGTGACCCCCCAAAATTGGCTAGTTTTGAAGTGACTTTGGGCTATAAATTTAGCTGACACCTGGCAACCCTGCTGGCTACAAGCAGCTGCTTGGGGCTCCGGAGCCCGGTCATCAGCTCTGTGCTGGCAGCAAGAGAGAAG